ATGTTGATGGTATTTTCATCGTCGTTATGGTAATAGTTATTCGTTTTAAGCTAAAATCTCTGTGGATTCATTTATGTAAAAAGAGTCGCTTATAAGAGCAAGTCATGTAACAATCAGGCAAAAAATATCAAGAGAAACGAATTCCCATTTCAGATTAGTATAATGGTCTTGTTGGTCGTTCTATAAGGGCGCAACGCAATGAATATAATTTCAGTTTCCTATGCATTTATCTGCAGGTATATTGGCTTAGAATGAAAAGGAGAGTCAAGAATAAGCAATAGGCTTATGCTTATGCAAGTGTTAACCAAACGACGGCCCGCGTTTCGTCAGTTTTCTTGCATTCATAGTCAATCACGCTAAATAAATGCGTTTGTAATTAACGCGCGAGCTAAGTCAGTCGATCAGCCTGTATACGTCTGCCCACCATTTCATAATTTATATAATTCATATAATTTGCAACCAAAGTTGAAAGTAAGTAATTCGAAAAAAATTAACAATGAAAATAATCATAACTGTTTCGGTGAACCGGCCGCATTTATCATAAATTGCCGGAATGGAGTATGTGCTTAAATCATTGGAAGGGCGGCACCTCATAATCGAAAAAAAGCAATCTGAGAGCACAAACCAGTCTTCAAATTTTTTTCGGCAGTTATTATATGTGTACTAGCTTATGTAAGCGGGGGCACAGCATAGATGCAATTCTATATAGGAAGTTGCCCCAATTCTATACAGGTTCTATAGCTGCATAGATTATAGCAATTTTTTGAATTATGAATAAAAGCAATCATACTAACCGTGGAGAAAGAATGTTCGTTTGCATGTGTTTGACGGAAGTGCAGCCAATAAAGTTGAAACTGCCAATTCCATATGGATTGTACCTCGTTGTTGTCGAATTTGTTATCCGAATTCTTTGCATCGAGTGGAACAAAAACACTGTTATTATTGCGTAAACTCTTCGTACGATTTGCCGGCAAAAACACACACACACTCTAACACAACGCTGAAAAGCGAGTTTAAACAAATGAAAATAGAATAAGCGGTGAAAGATGTAAATACAGAAGTGTAAATATAATAAATAATAAGTGCTGAATACAATTCTTGTTTTAGTTAACCCAGAAAACCTCGTATATGTTATCGACTGTCTTATCTGACGAAAAAAACTGTAGGATTAAAAATTTGTGATTAAGGACAGCTGTCTATGCCAGCTTATGAGCTGCTTTACCTGTTCTGCTTGGTTTTTTTATAACAATAATACATGGGGTGGTCCTTTAACTGACTCTAGCTGAAGCTAGAGCGCTAGTAAGTAATATTTCCAGAGTTAGGTATGGGACAGCCATAATCGACAATAATAAATTTATATTTATAATATATTATATAATTATATTCACTCATATTTTCATTCATATTTTATAAAGTTTTAGTTAACTAATTCTCTAACTATTTTCGCTACCGTCCAAATTGTAATATTCTTGTTCAAAAGCTCATGTAATAAAACGTTAGCCATAGACGAGGGGACAATTCCTTTCCCCGTTCAATACAATTAGAAATGAGTTAGGGAAGAGAAGGGAGAAATTGTATCTTTAAATTCGAAATCAATTTTTACTAACAAGTAGCTTACGATCTATTTTAGGATACAAAAAAATGTTTTAATTATTCACATTATAATATATACAAATATATGTCCTAAGGTGGTGGTCTGTGCTTATGTTAGTCAAGTTAAATAGCAACAAAAGAATCGGCGGTTTACGTATTCATTCGTTGGAACTTATATCGTGCAGTGTAAGTATAAATACCAAGTCAGAAAGTGTGCGCTATAAGTTGACTCCCCAACATATAATTTAGATGTCGAGTGGCACTTGCGTGTGTTACAGTGGCAAAAGCTATAGAACAATTTCTATAAGCAGCAGTATTTACCTTGTTTGTGCTTGTGTGAACGCAAAAGGCAAAAGGCACACACTCGCATTTGTAGAAATACAGCTGCAGGATCGGATGCTTTATTAAATTACATTCTAATAGGTTACGAGATTTGAAGCTATTACGAAGCCTGTACAACCCCAAATCTAAATTTCCAAGAACATTTAAAAAGATTATGGTTTCTATGTCTTGAAATAAACAACAAATCGCGTATATTAACATATTGAGTCAAGTTATTTTAAAAAGGGAAGCTATAATAACTAGTAACTTTTACTTCAAAAAAATTGAATCGATTCCGGCGATTTCGACGAAAGCATTTGTCGTCCAACCTGTATGTCACGTCTGTAGCACCTGCTCATCTACTAACTAAAATATTACTTCTCTTACATTGTCCGGCAAAACGTGGCATCCCTTTTCTCCATATAAAAAGCATAACCTTTCTGGGAAACATTTATGTAGGTTCGGCTCAAAAAATCACCTTATCGGGCCAAAATTTGATACAAACAATTTTGTATGTCGAATTTCTGTTACAGAAATCGTTATTGCCATGCGCTGTTAAAAAGTAGACTTTCGTCACAATAATAAAAATAAAATCTTCTTAGGAGCAGTTTTATAGTAGGCTGAAAAATTGTCCCGTTCGATTCAAATTTTTCACACTAATTCAAAATGCCAAAAAAGTATTACCAAGCCACGTTTGTCGAAATGTTTCATAAATAGCAATTCTTTTTTTATATAGCGACTTCCGAAATGAGGTGCTATGTGTGGAGTGACCGGAAAAGAGTATCACGCATTCCGTGTTCAATGGTTTAGTTCATTGGGCCAAAGCATGCCAGTGGACAAAACTTTGTGAAAATAATTCAAAAATTGTGGCCGAATAGACCGGTGAATAAGATTAAATGGAATTTAGAAAATGATTTTGAATCGATCGGCGTTATAAGCGAAGAATCGCAATAGATATGCTGTGTCATCATGAGTCGCGTTATAAGACTTAAAATATCTTGGGCGCGAAATTCTAAATTGCATGTGTCAAAGAATTGAAAATGTAATATGTTATAAGAATACATGAAGTACAATAAAGAGAAAAGCATATTTCGCTATAACTGACCTTCAAATTAAAAATATCTAGAATTGCTTAAAACTGCAACAGAATACGAGTACGTCTCTCTTGAAAAACCTTAATAAACCGGAATATTTCAACAGTTATGCTCCAAAAGCACACCATTACACACACACTATTTGCATCTTTCTTTGCAAATTTTACTATATCATTTATGTACATATATGTTTATCTATATATATACTTTATATATATATATATACATATGTGTGTGTACATAATATAGTATAAATATGACCAACAACAGGTTTTCTCTCAATGAAGAAATTTATGGTACGAAGTAAACAATTTCGAAATTTTTCATACAATTCAACTGACCTTCTCATCGTATCGCAGATTGTCGTAGAAATTTAGTAATGTGTGCAAATATACATTCCAGTATATACTGAAAATTCTATTTGCGTGTGCTCGAAAACTTTGTGTTTAAACCTCGTTATTGTAAACATGACAAGGGATCGCATAAATATCTTTTGAAGCTTAGTTTGTAACACGCAACAGTGTGCTTTAGGAACCACATAAAATCGCATCCTTGATCCGTTAAACGTTAACTAAGTTGTAAAATACCAGAATTTTATATCCTCAAGTCGAAATCTTACAGTAAACATTGTAAAAGGTTTCTTCATCTACCAAGAAGGCGAAAAGACAAGCTGAACGTCTGAAACTAGAAATTCCAGACAAACTGAATGTCTCAAACTAGAAATTCCTTTGTCGAAAGTGGAAGGAAGGGGTGAGTTACTATGCTTATACACAGCGAATAAATAAATAATTGTTGAGAAATTCAAAAATTCTCATGATATTTTGATCCAAGCCATTTTATCATTGAAAGCTCTCGCTATTAAAAATCACATAATTTTAAAGAAATTTTTTCGAGAAACCCGCCTCTGAGATGACTACATAACAAGTAACAGGATTATATTCGTTCATGACCGAATCTTTTATACCCATCGCCATTATCTCAAAAATCACGGAAAAGGTAAAAGAACTATATTTTCATGCTCTAAAATACGAGGTGGGTGCGGCCAATTTTTTCCGTTTTCAAAATAAAAGTTTTTATCACTTAGGCATGTGGGCGTTGTAGGCATGTCTTTGGAAAGTTTAGATGATTTCTAAATCCGTTTGCCGCAGACACCAAGCGGCTTGACCGACGGGCAAATGGACGGACTAACAGACGGACATGTTTAGGTGCATTCCAAATTTGAAACAGGCCAAGAATAAATATGCTTTATGTGGTTTTTGAAACTTGGCTCTATGCGTTATAAAGGTACTGAAAGAAAATTAAATGTACACACTCTATGATATTGGGTAGGCGTGGTTTATTTTTTCCATTTCATGCATCTGTTATAGCATCACCTATGAAATATGTATTCAAATTTTTACAGATTTACTTTCTGCACTTCGCAAGTAATGACCAAAAAAACAAATTTCTACAACTTTGGAAAAACGGAGGTATTCCGATTTGGCCCGTTTTAATGCCGACTTCCAATGTTTCTGCCAAATTTGAAGTCTGTAGCTTCATTGTTGCGGCCGGGAGAATGTTTACAACACAAATTAAATAAACGGCCAGACAGGCAGACATGGTTAAATCGATTCGGGATTTGATGCTAATCAAGAATACTTTGTGGAATCTCCGAAGCTTCCTTCTGGACGTTGCGTACGTTTTAAAAAAATGAATATGCCCGTCATCCTTTGGTGATGGGTATAAAAATATTTGTGTATGCATATGTTATACGTGATCATTAATAGATTTAATTTTAATTATATTCATTTTACCATTCTCACTCCCTCAGTTTCCGGCGTCCCTTGCAAATGATAAAAATTAAATTTTATCCCTTTGATATATTTGGATAAAGTTTCATAAGTACATACGCATATGATTTGAGATTCGCATGCTTCAAAGTGCAGCATTGTTCATACTTAAGAGATGATATGTGCATGTTCGTCACATTTTGTCATTATACTTTGTTTTAATTGAAGGTATGTTCGAAATTTTGTCTTAGCTTAGCTGTATGCCTGTACGGAGTAGAATAAATATAATTGCGTACGTACCCAAGTGAAATAAGCCGCAGCGGTTAATTGTAATGCCGGTTTTGTAGGTTTTTAATGTTTTGTTTTTATGGATAAGAAAACACAAACATACACATAAAAATTATTTAAAATATTTTTAATATGAGTTGTCAACTTGTTTCCTTTTTGATTTCCTTCTTCATTGTCTGCTGTACTCAGAGCTGTTTTTTTTTTTCGTTATTATTATTAATAATTACTATTGCTAATAATTAATAATTAATGTTAAGTTATATAATTTTGCATTCATAACAGTTTGACGACAAAACCGGTTAAATGGAAAAGAAGTGCTTTTTTCATATTAAAAATTGATTAAAGTTAAACGTCTGACAGTAGCAGTTAGGTCCACAACTTTAACTACAATGAGAATAAGGAAGATATTGTGTAATAGAGCAAACTGTTTGGCTAATTGCAGTTAATATTTTTTTTTCCATTTTGCATTTACGAAGAAATTAAAAAAGCAAAAAATCATCCACTTGCCATTGTGAGAATTTTTAACACAGGATATGAATCAAGTCAAGAAAAAAATTTTACATGTACATATGTAAAAGAATTTAAAAAAGTTTTTTCTTTTGAACATTCACACTCACAAGATTAACGGTAATTAACAAGCAACAAACAAGTGTAAGACGTACAAAACGAATTGACCGCGTTTTCTTTCTGAACGCTTTGAGCATTAAAGCAAACATAGAAATTTGGCTCAAACGTTCGCTACACACATTTACATGAGTATGCTCAAATAGGTGCACAGTAAAAAACACACACATGTACGCGTACGCATGCAATCATACGGTCGTGCATATATACACCCATATGCTCGCTTTAAATTGGAAGTTTCTCTTACCGTCCGTCAAAGCAAAATATATATATATATATATAATTATATATATATATACATATATTGTCTCTCTTATCTGTTGTAAATTGAAAAAAAAAGACTGGTTTTTAGTTCTTTTTGTTCTTTTTTCAACAAGAATCAAATCTTCAAAATTTTTTGAAATTAATTTTTTCAAAATTTTTTTTTTTTTAGTATAAAAACAATTTAATTTAATTTAAAACAATTTAAAGGCACTCTGAAATTTTTTTAAAATCTAACGATAAAATAAACGTAAATTCAACGAACATGACGGCGAAAGGCTTTTACTGCAGTTCGCGCTTTATCCGCTTTATTCACTTTATCAATTCGCATTAGAGCATTAAAGATGTTACTCGCTTTTCACCCGTTTGTTTACGAGCATGAACAACAAAAAGCGAACTGAAGCAACTGACTGCGTGATTGAGACTGTAGGAGCTGTAGGAGCGACAATAGCGGCAAAACACAGAAGACATGTTAGTTTGAATTCGCTAAAGATGGGAGGTGTATTCATTTTACCAAAATGCCTGCAACACTCACAAGAAGGCTTCGTAGACACCATAATGAACATATATTTTTGCAATGGCGTCATCAGCACCAAATTCCATCTGGTTTCTACGCTTACACGCATATAAAAAAATGCAATTGACATTTATAATTAAATGGAATATTCTACACTGAGCACTCCACACTCTGAAGAATGGATTATCTTCCAGATAATTTGTAAAAAAAAAGTAGGCACAAAAAACAAATAAATATGCATATTTTTGATTACATTGCATTCATTTTTAATTCGTATCATTTTATTTTTATGTGTTATTATAATTTTATCAATTCGATAAATTATAAGTAATACAATAATGGCGTACATGGCGCATTTTGAGAAAAAAGGCGTTTTTTCAAAACTAGTAGCGAGTTAGATAGATAAAAGTTATTTTAAATCTGTCTACTAGCCTTTTGGATTTAAAAAAAAAAGGTTGTAAAGTAAATTCATTGCTATTTTTAATACTCTTATAGCGCCGGTGTGGTTCGCGGGAATTGGGACGGGGCGGACTACTTGTATAGACCTTTTTTCATAATATGGCAATATAAATCTTCAATTTATAGAAAGTTTAGGACAATAATGTCGGCAGACAATGTCATCCTTTTTTATTATGGCCATATCATCTGTTATTATAAAAATCACAAAAGTCTAAAAGTGAAGATTGCAATTCTTATAATATTAAAAAAATACGAAATATTTATTTATATAATTATTTAATATATGTTATTTATTCATTATTATATATATATATATATTTACAATTTTTCTTCAATATTCAAAATATTCAAAATATATGTGTTATTTAAATTATCTAGAAATTTTTCGAATTATTGAGAATGTATACGCTTATTCTCGTATGTGGCCAAATTTTTATACAAATACTTGAACAATTATTCAACAAATGTAAACAAATTGGACGCTTATTCTCAAATTGTTCGAATTATTGAGAATATATACGCTTATTCTCGTATGTGGCCAAATTTTTATCTATTTTTTCAGAGAGAGAGAGCAAAATTTACTTCGCCGTATACTCTTATTAGAGCAGTGTTGATTTTTTGAGAGTCAAATTTCATGTTAAACGTTTGCAAGCCACTGTAAACCAAAAAGAAATATTTTCAGATCTTAACAATTATCTGCAAAATAACAGTGGCGCTTATATACTAGTTTCTGTGCCAAACAGAATTTAGCATTGATAAACGAAAGAGAGGAACATTTTAATTAGCTATTACAGAGAATTTTCAACAGTTAAATTTTGTTTGCTTTTGAAATAAAAATTTCAAAATGTTTCTCTAAAACTTTTTCTTTTTTTAGTAAAATCACTCATTTAATAACATTCCTTCCACTAACCGCATAGAAAATTGAAGTTATTTATTGCTCGCTTTACTGTTTATCGATACTAAAAGAATGCCACATCGCGTTAATTTGAAAAAGTTGTTTGGCTTACGATTATTATGCTTCAACAATTGTAGGCAACTGACCATAACGAGTAAGCCACATGCGGGCTGTAGGTAAGCACACTATCCTCACTTTACAAAGAGTCGCAAATTTTACCATCGAATTGCTTTTCAGTTTTTGAACCTACCTGTTGTTAATTGATGGACTCTTTTCAATCAGCAAAAGTTTGCAATGTCCCTTCTGGAGTTTCGGGTATTCTCGGAATGTATGAACCTTAAACTACCACTAACGCTCACCGGCCGTAAATGCGGACATTATTATTATTTTTCTTTTTTGCGTTCACTTTACGCTTTGCCCCGGGCTTGTGCTCTGACCAATTGGCTCGTTTTCAATACCAAACGAAGAGCAAAACTTCTAAAGTTTCCATCAAATTTGAAGTCTGACTTCTGGGCCTACGCCGTTTGAAACAAAAATCATACCTAAATTCACTGGCGATAAAGACCGGCAAGTCCTAAAGTCTGATACTACTTGATTATGGAGGAAAATCGTAAGTTCACTCAGTTATTGTACCGTCAATTCCAATGAGAAAGCAGGAGGGTGGTGGCAAGCTTTGACTAAAAGGAATGAAAATCAATAACATTACAAAGAGCGTGACAAGGAGAAAAAAACTTTACAATTTATTAGGATGAGAAGTCGTCGGCCCAGATAAAAGAAGTCGTCCTTTAAGGTGAGCATAATAGTGAGCATGAAAGATATCGCAGAGATTTCAAAGAGACACGTTTCTAAATTAAGGATGTATCAAAAATCTTTTATTACACTGTGTGTGGTGTCACTGCTGTCAAAATAAGTAAATTGTAGAAGACTGCTAAACGAAACGCTAAATTTTTATTTCTTCTTCGTTAAATAAACAATTTAATAAATAAGAAATTGTGAGTCCATTGAATACTGTTCACAGACCTCAACGAGACGTTTCTTTCATGAAACGTTTCAAAAATTGTTTATTTTTTCAATGCTTACTTATTGCTCTTCTTTTGTCTTTCTTCAAGCTAACTATTTATTTAGCTTTGAGTTTATCCGTCATACAAAGAATGATAGGCATGGATTATAAAAAAAAAGAAAGGAAGAAGGTTATGGTTTCTTTGCTTCTTCTCATGTGGAAAATTAACCTAATTTCAGATTTCTTTCTCTGCATATATTTAACAGAATAGAGAAAAGAGTAGGGTAGAAATTCACACATGTTGAAGCAAACACAAAGATGAGAGAAGAGCGTCAGTCTGTGTTTTTAAAATTACAGTTTGAAAATAATTGCATATTGTGGAGTCAGAGCGTTAAATAAAAACATGACAACAACAAAACGTTACTATTTTTGCAACAACAAAATAAACACGGTATTACTTTTACAGCGACAAGCACACAGCTTAAGGGACAAAAACTGCTGAGAAATGAAAATATGAAATTCAAGCTCTGACTTACTTTGCTGAACATTTGTTATGGATACCTTGCAAAAATGCTGAGAACATGAAATTCAATTTCTGAGCGTAACAGTTACTTTGCTCTAAACAATAACACGTGCATGGCAAATGTAAACAAATTTCGAATTTGCAACAACGAAGATACACGGTACTAGTGTTACAACAACAATACGAAAACAGTGCTTTTTTGTTATAAAGTAAAAAATGTAGTCAAAGAAAACTTATTGTTTACACTGCTGGGAAACGAAAACATATGCAATTATTTTCTTTAGATATAGTTACCGATGAGAGATGTCTTGAAAAAAAATTACTCTACCAAATATAATGTCGTAATCTAGAAATTGTACGACCGATCCGACGATGATGGTTATGCAATCAAATGCTTATGGAACGGAGGATGTTAAAAATTTGGGGGTTTTTAATTTATTTATTATTATTATTATTATTAACTTAGCCAGAGAATAAATTCTAAGACTAAAAAACTTGAAGCGCTAGCAATCTAAGACTTTCGTCTTTATTAAAACTCTACCGCAGTTGAGATTTGCACCCACGACCACTGAGTTGCTTGTCGAGACTATTGCCTACTCGGCGGCTTGGGCGGATTGTAATTTATTTAAAATATTACATTTGAAGAAAATTTTGTACGTCTTCATCAAAGTACCCGTTGAATGGGAGCGCATGAAAAGGACTTCATGAAGAGTGAATGGCAAACGAAACGAAATTTTTCCTTTGGTTGACATTATACCTCATCCCATCGGCAGCACATATTATATTAGCGGCACATATATATTACCGGCACATATATATTACCTGGCGTCCTGTACCTCGTGGTGTTATTTTTGGTCGACAATTTTCCGTTTTGTAAATTTGCAACACCTTTTTAGTATATTGTCTCTGCATTATTTCGATGGAACTAATCTCATCAACTCGTTTCCCTACCAAGCTTGCAAAATGCTGAACAGGGCGTCTCTTTTCCATATCAATCTGGACTTGTTAGCTGTTTTTTGATTCAGTTCATCGTATATTATGTATAATATTACGTATGCTCTCATCAATGTTCTCGGTATCAAGGCGAGGTTTATTTGCAGATTGAGGTCTCGCGCACGATCAAATTGCTTCAGTTTACAAAGCGACTTCTCCATCATTTATACATACGTCATGAGTTAATTCATGACATCCACATCGTGAAAGTCCAATTTGTATTCCGCCGCAACTGCAAATATGAAAGTGTTACTGTATAATGTACGCCGTATATTTGAGAGTACGCCCTAACTCCTAATCTTGCTTTGAACTGCTCTACATTTCCATCTTACCCTTTGTTAAAAGCAAAAAGTCATTTGGCACCAAGAATGTTTTTCATGTTTTTTTCCATGGGTCGTTTTCATTGGGCACTTTCTTCAGCAAGTGATATCTACATATTTTTTGGTTTTGTTAGGCTCAGTAAAATACTGTACTCCTTACTCACTATCAAGTGTTTAGTAACTTTACGAAACAATCGATATATGATTGCTGTTACAGAGCCAAATAATTTTAAATGTTCTGCTCTAAGTTTTCTGCCATGCCATATTTCGTAAGGTGATGTTTTTCAAAGAGGTCAGCTAGATAGGTATTTGTTCACTGGTGTAGAC